TTCTTGGAAGAGTTATGGGTCGTAGTTGGAGGCAAGCAGAGCTGGTGGGCATTTGCCTTATGTAGTGATCAGGTATCAGGCCTAACTTGATGGCATCTATATTGCTACTAGTTAGGTAAGTGCATATAGTCTTACAGGGCTCAGATGATCTACAGTCTAGTGAAAATGAAGAGTTGATGATAAGATTATTTCTAAAGAAATATGCTTGAAATGAGAGTTGTTCTTAGATAGATAGCCAAATGACCAGTTAGAATATACCTTGAAAAGTGAGAGAGATCCCCCCCCCACCCCACCCCAGAAAACAAACAACTGTAACACTTGAAAGTCTGCAGCTCCATTTCTGGAAAATTAGAAATACATGAAAATAATCGCTGCAATTTATTCCTATTACTCATCCTTTATCAGGCTTTTAAATGCAAAATCTGGTGTTAACATGTTCCAACATTTATCTCTAGAGGCCTAATCTATTAATGTCTGCTTGCCATTTCTGATTAATTTAAGTTTTTGGGAATCAATAATTTGCAATTGTCCACAGATAGGTATTTTTTAATTACCCAATAGGAAGTTCATTTTGATACAAGGATGGTCCAAATCTAAACCATTGTCTAATTAATTGTCTTCAGTAGTACCCTTGGCAGACCATTCTTCAGTCTGCTTGGGGAGGGACCTATAGAATGAAATCTTCATTGTTTGATTCAGTGAATAACTTTGGTTTTGATGGAACTGACCTCTCTTGAAAGACCAGCCAATTATAGACACTTCATAATGGGAAATTAAATAAAAAGCTGAGAAATAGATGGAGAAATGCCTAGTGTGGTCTGCAGGAATTTTGGCCTTTTGCCCTAGAGGATATCTTACATCAGAAAATATTTTCTAAATCCCTACTTTCAAAGTGCCCTTACATGTTGCAATCATTTCTCTATCACCTCTCTCTCTCTCTTTCCCCTACAACTTATAGGTGTAGATATAAGGTGGGTTGTGGTGATCAGCCACTACACTGTGCTACCTATCCTTGGTCTTGTTGCCCTCCAGATGTGTAGATCTTTACCCCAAGAATTCTCAGTAAGCCCCTCTCCCCAGCGTGGGGGCCTGGGGGAATTGGAGACCATATGTCTGTGGATGCCTAGATATTGGCCAATAGATAGCCAGCCACCCATAATGAAAACCTTTTAGGGGTTCAGCCAATCACCTTGCATTTCATGAGATAATTATAGAAAGGGATACCCAGTTTAAGGGAGCCTTCTTCTTTCAGTAGCCAAGACTAGCCATGGATACGCCTCCCCACCCCCCACCCCAACTTCTTTGTTGACTTTTGTACTGTTTGAAGCAAAAAATAAAATATCTCCTCCTTCCATTCTCCCAGGCAGAAGCTGATCAGAGGCCAAGTGAAAACTTATTTCGTCTATTGCATCTCCCAACACCGCTTGAGTACAGCAGACCCAAGCTCATATAGGCCAATGGACTCAACATCCTAATTAGAACTTATTCTTTTATTTTTAGTTCCATTTTCCATTTTTGTCCTTTATTTTCAATTTATTTTCTTTTAAGGACTGAATGTGTACCCTTTGGTAGTGCTGGTTTTGGGACCATATTAGTAAAATAGATAAAGATGAAAGGGACAGGAATAAGGGGGGACAACTGTGCTTTTGTACAATGGCAAAGCATTAAATTACAGCAATCAACAGTTCAGGCTTTTTAGTTCTTTCAATATCTTTGTGGAATAGCCTCTTTCACTCTTTGCCCTAGCTATGGGGATCCATGGTGAGCAGGGGGGAGGAGGAGATCTTGTGTATCATGAAATCATTGGGCAAGTGATGCAGTTATGTAACATGTGATGACTTTACAACACATGTGATGCCATCCTGGTGTCATAACATGGCTTCTAGCAAACTCTTATGGACCTAAACATTCTCTAAAAGTTCCCCAGACATTAAAGCAAAGATAGAGGCATGTTCTCCATAAGCAATGATTTTCATTGATCTTTTTTCTAAAGAAGTAGATCTAGATTATTCTCAATGATGTCTTTAATACTGTGGCCTCCTTAACTTTATTGACAGGTTTTCTGAGGTTAGCGTTGGAGGGCTAATGGAAGTCTAATTTACTGTGTTGCTTCCAGATGTACCAGTGCCAATATTAACTGGGTGATAAATTAGTTTTTTATGTCTTTACCAAATTTTATTATTGAACGATTTCCGCATGGGTCTGTTTTAAGCGTAATCTAGTTGGTCCATGACATTAGCCATTTCAGAGATGTAATTATTTCTCTGTGTGTGTGTGTGTGTTAATCTAATGTCAAGGTTGCAAGATAATATGACAGTTTTCAAAATAAGTCTGAACTAAGATTCTGAATGACTAAGGGCAACTTCCACATCACTACTTTGTGTCGCTTCAGGACCAGCCATGGACCTAATTTTGCTCATGCTATTACATTTTTCCAGAGTTAGTTGATTTATTTCTGATTCTACTCTGATTTATTTCAAAGCATTGCAGCGTGGATGCAAAGCTGCTAGAGCTCTGTAGAACTTCGTGGAAGGCCTGGTGGGAAGTTTGAACTCCCCTTCTTTTCCAGGATCTGGTTTCAGGCCAGCTGTTAGTGATTCCCCCAGCCCCAAGAGAGAGTCAACATCCTGTTTCAGGAGCTATTCTTTTCCACTACCCATTGTTTAAAACTTGACTCCCAATTCTCCTAGTTTAACTGCAAGAAGCAATTATTTGGAAAAGCACCCAGCTGCAAAACGGTGATATTAGGATCATTTTGCTTTATAACTCACAGTGGGTTTTATATGCAACAGAGGAATGGATGCTGTGGGAAGTCTTTGGGACATTTCAGTACGTTTCTTTCTGGGTATTTTGTGTATTGTGTGTTTACAGCAGACCTTTTCTTGCATAGCTTCCTTCCATACCAACCTCTGTGTTTTGTTTTTAAATATTTTTGCAAAGGCCAGGCAAATGGATGTATAAATATAATGACTGAAAATGCAGAAGGAGGAGATGCAATTTATTGGGTTTCCTTTTTTCTGTGTTTGAAGGGGGGGGGATGAGGAAATTTTGACTAGTGGGGAGTGCTCAGGGGCTGGGAAGTGGAGTGATGTTCTGTGTGCTCTTTAGGGGACTGCATTTTGAGGTCAGCAGAAGTCAAGATGATTGCAGGTTGCTTGGGGGGGGGGGGGGATGGAAAAAGCCAACTGGGGAGGAGCGGGGGAAGTGCCCAAATCTTGAAACATTCAAGAAAGATTTCATCTTTTTTTTAATGGAAATGTATGCAGAAGGGTCCTCGAGGAGTTAGAGGAGAGGGTATGATGAATGTAGCATTGCGTCGATGTGGTGCAAGCTCTGCCCTTTTGGTATGTGCAGGTCCCCATGTACAAAAGGGGCAGAACTACATCATGACATGCAAGATGCTGCTTTGATCATATTGACAAAAGGGCTGGGTCCTGGATAGGGGCTGAATCGATATGTTTCTTTCTTCCCTTGGAACAGCGTTTCTCAACCTTGTTGAATTTAAGATGGGTGGACTTCAGCTCCCAGTGCTGGCTGGGGAACTCTGGGAGTTGAAATCCACTCATCTTAAAGTCACCAAGGTTGAGAAACACTGTTCCAAGGGAAGAAAGAAACACATTGAAGAAACACATCCCAACGCTCAACACAGAGGTTGATATGAAAGGAAGCTATGCAAGAAAAAGTCTGCTGTAAATACACAATCACACACACACACACACAAAACACCCAGAAAGAAATGCACTGAAACGTCCCAAAGACTTCCCACAGCATCCATTCCTTTGTTGCCTATAAAATCCACTGTGAGTTATAAGGCAAAATGATCCTAATATCACCGTTTTGCAGCTGGGTGCTTTTTCAAATAATTGCTTCTTGCAGTTAAACTAGGAGAATTGGGAGTCAAGTTTTAAACAAGGAGTAGTGGAAAAGAATAGCTCCTGAAACAGGATGTTGACTCTTTCTTGGGGAGAGCCAGCAGGAAGTCACAAGTCATGGTCACGTGAGGTCCTCACTTAATGATCCACACGGTCCTTGCTTAATGACGGCAACCAGGACTCCTGTAACTGCCATCACTAAGTGGCGCAGTCACATGGTTTGTCAACTTATGACCATGTCACTTCACAACAGAGTTTCTGGTTGCAATTAGTGTTGTTAAGCGAGGACTACCTGTATTGTTTTCATGTTCATTAGTGCTCATCTTGGTGTTTGGATATTTGGGGGAAGTGTGTCCATTAAGATTACACTAAAGCAGTGTTTCTAAACCTTGGCCGCTTGAAGATGTATGGACTTCAATTCCCAGCATTCCCCAGCCAGCATGGCTGGCTGGGGAATGCTGGGAGTTGAAGTCCATACATCTTCAAGCGGCCAAGGCTGAGAAATGCTGCACTAAAGGGAAGTGTGATGGCAAGAAGTTTAGGAACCCTTGCTGAAAAGGAAGGTACAACTGATCTTGGGAAAAGAAGAAGCAAACCTTTAGGGGGGGTGGGGACTGGCAGAAAAGATTATGGTCCTGAGAAAGAGGGAAGTCTGAGAAAGAAACTCAGTGACTGCTCCTTGAGTTGGTTTCGTCTGAGATCAGGCAGAGAGAAACTTGCACAAGCTTTCAAGATCCTGTTATTCTCCCTTTCAACAGTAAGACCATTCTGGAGTCTCTGCAGTATCTGTTTCTTGAAGCAAGGACAGCTGTTACATAGGCCTGGTGTTTTCATTCAACCCTGTGACTTTCACCTTTTGTCCTTTTTATCCGATTTATACTTTGAAACCTCTGGGCAAGAAGCACATTCTGAGTATCTGTACCTTAAATTTGTGTCTCCCTTTTCCATCGTGTGGGACTGAAGACAGCTATAAGTACCATGATGCAAAGTAAATAAATAACATTCAAAAACGTAAAAATAAGTCAGTAAAAGTATCTGTAATCCCCAAGTGAAGTATAAAGGGTTTAAGTTAGAGCAGCTCATTTATATTGGTGATGGGAATAAGACGGGAAGCAAAATAGCACGTACTTCTGTAGGTTGTCCGGTGTGCACACTTCTTCATCATACAGTCCTTTCGGATCTAACAGGGTTCCTGAGAGACAAAGGGAAATATACAGTATTATACTGTTATTCCAAAACAAAGAGATCATAAAAGTTTGAATTAGATTTTGTCTGCATTTTGAAGTGAAATATTTGTACTTCCTGAATTAGGTGGGACCAGCCTCCCCCAATCCTGTGTCCCCAGATAAATTGGGATTACAAGCCCCAAAATTGCCAGCTCAGAATTCTGGAAGCTACAGTCCAAGAGGACGTCATGTTGGGGACTAATGCTCCATTCCAGATAGATAGATAGATAGATAGATAGATAGATAGATAGATAGATAGATAGATAGATAGATAGATAG